GCAACCATGCCGCTCGTCGCGCGTCGACTGCCGACTGCGACATGCGCGCCGAGACGGCGGGGTATCTGGACGACGATGTGGGAGGCGCGGTGACGACAAGGCGAGACGTGGTGGTGAGCGCGATCGAGGCGGCTGGGCGCGAGGCAACTCCGCCATGGGCGGCCATTGAAGCCATTTCGCTGCGTCAGCGGGGGGCCTGAGCGCGGCTAGGGTTTCGTGGCGAACGATGGAGAGGCTGACGTAACAGCGGGCAAGAAGCACGCGATACGTGAGAAGTGTTTCAGTTCATGTTCAGCCGAAACTTCGACAAGCCCAGCACTACCAAGGGCAGAGGCTGCTGCTTACTGCTGCCAACGGAAGTCACATCAGCTCGAGAAAAGAGGGATTTGATGGATGGGTCTCATCGCTATGGAGGGGAATGAGGGAGAGGCGTGACGAACGAACAGGCAGGGCAAGGGCTGTGGAGGAGTGATCATGGGATGAGAAGGGAGGGACCATGATCGTCGGACGGGACAGTGGCAAAGGCCGTAGATTCTGCACGTTAACAGTAAGATAAAATACGTTTCAGTACGGTAGCCGTCAGAATTTGAACAAAGCAACCACGTGTTCATGAATCACGCTTTGAGGGACGTTCGGAAACGGACACCCATCACGTGTAGGTTTGGTGTGGAGTCGATGATGCCACGTTGCCTTCCTCACCAACCAAACTCCGCATCAGCGGTGTCAAAACGGAGTACATTTGGGACAGAAAGTCGTGTAATTGTTATGTCATGATTATTATTTCTATATTTCATGCCACACTTCCTACACCCAAGCCTCACGCTATCAGACTAAATACTCTGATTAGTCTTACTAATCAGACTGTCTAGGCACTGGAAACTGATTTTTGGGTTGCGAAGCAACCCTATATATTTGGTTTGACATTTTGGGGATATCATTTGAGAAGTGATATTTTACGCACTTTTTGGAGCACACGTTTGAATGTTTGGAATGTTAGAATGGACTAAGCTACTAGCGGAAGCTTTAGTAGTCTTAGAACCTCCTCCTAAATCCTAGGAATCTTAGGAGCCCACTTGGGCATAAACCATGCTAGAACCAAAGTGATTTCAAAGGAGTGAAGTTCCAACAAGAGAGAACCCTAACTTATAGGATTTGGGAGGTGGTCCACTCTATAGAGTGTACACCACAAGTTCTCCCAACCCAAACAATGTATTCTACACTATAAAAGTGTAGATCTGTCACTACATATGTTTATTGGAGCAACCCGAATTAACCTTAATTCCAACACCCCCCCTTGCTCCAATAAACATTACCGGTAAGTTCACCCATAAACCAAAACGCAACCCCTCCAGCGAATGAAGCCTTGGCCTTCGCAGCCATCACTCGCATGCCGATGCGCTCCAGGTTCTCATGCAGCTACAAGCTTGGAAGAGCTTTGGTGAGCATGTTGTCAGAATGTTATTCTCTAGCCTGTAGTGGGGTGCTCTATAGCGAGTACAACCCATCTAGGGTTTGCTATATGTATCCTCATTGCTGCTAGTGAAAACCCTCCTCTTTTGCCTAAACTTCTCTTGCCTAGCTAGGACTTACCTAGCTATGGCTCCTAACTCTACACACTATTTTCACATGGAATCAGAGCACATATGCTCCTGGCCTGTGGGCCCTCCTACTGCTTCCGCTGCCCTACGCTGTGTCGCGCGCCCCGTGGTGCGCGGCCTCTTATTTTTCATCCCGCCGCGCGCTCGGGGCGCGCGGCGGTTTTCTGCCCGCCGTGCGCCCCGAGGCGCGCGGCGGTTTACTGCTGTGGGGGAGCCAGCGCGCGCCCCGCCCGTCGGTCGCGGAGCCCTGGGGAGCACGCGCGGCCCCCCACCCTGCCCGTCGCGGCGCGCTGGGGAGCCCGCGAGCCCCCCGTCCGTCCGTCGCGACGCCCTCGGGAGCCCGCGAGCGCCCCGCCCGTCGGTCGCGACGCACTGGGGAGCCAGCGGGCGCCCTGCGTGGTCGTCGCGACGCCCTGGGGAGGCCGCGCGCGCCCCGTCAGCTCGTCGCGGCGCCCTCGGGAGGCCGCGCGCGCCCCGCCAGGCCGTCGCGGCGCCCTGGGGAGCCGCGCGCGCGTCCCCCCCGCCCGTCCGTCGCGGCGCCCAGGGGAGCAGCGCGCGCCACGCCCCTTCCCTCGCCCCACCCGTCCGTTCTGGCGCCCTAGAGGCGCGCGCCTTCCCCCCCCTCTCCGTCCCCCGCGCTCCTGCCCCTATCCCACCCGTTTTAGGGTTTGGGGGTGAGGAGTGTGGGGGTGGTGGTTGTGGGGGTGTCCGTTGTGCGCGCCGTGCCCTTCTCCTCCTCCTCCTTTGTCTCCCACTGCTGCAGCTGTCGCTGAGGGGGGTGGATGAGTGGGAGACTGGGGTTTAGGGTTTTAGGGGGGTGCGTGGGAGTGGAGCTAGGGTTTGAGCAGTGGGTGTGTGTCGAGGGTGTGGGGCAGTTGGAGGAGGTTGTGTGGAGGTACCTGTCGTGTCGCTTGCAGCGCCTGTAGTCCGTCGCCCTTGCTTCGGTAGCCAGTGAGCCTGCTGCACCAGTCGCCAGTGGGTCCGTTGCTCCTGCCGCTCTTCTATAGCCGCCGAGCCAGTTACTCCAGTAGTCCGTCGCCCTTGCTTCGGTAGCCTCTGAGTCAGCCGCTCCTGTGCCCGTGCCTCTGCAGCTTCAGTCGTTGCCTCCCATCTTCTCTACCTCCACAGCTCCTCCTCCTCCTCACTTGCCCGCTGTGATTAGCTCTAGCTTTGCTTACCTTTGTGAACTCCTGCTCTATACCTGCTTGCTCATTGTACTGATTACACCCCACTTTGGCTATGGGGGTGTGTCAGAATGTTATTCTCTAGCCTGTATTGGGGTGCTCTATAGCGAGTACAACCGATCTAGGGTTTGCTATATGTATCCTCATTGCTGCTAGTGAAAACCCTCCTCTTTTGCCTAAACTTCTCTTGCCTAGCTAGGACTTACCTAGCTATGGCTCCTAACTCTGCCTACTATTTTCACACATGTCGGCATCCTGGAGGTGGGAGCGTACTGAGTGCACCTCGACCTCCTGCTGGCGCACCGCATCCCGTACAAAGTGCCATGCCACCTTAATGTGCTTAGGGTACGTTCCTGTGGAGACACTTGTGTCTCAATCCTTTTGTGACGCGTAAAACCAGCTTATAACGTACAATGTCACAAACGCGTGTCGCCCTTGTGCGACTTTTAATGTATTTTTCATTTGTCAGCGTGAAACGCGCTGATGTCGCGGACGAGTTGCGTATCGACCCGTCATTGTCAACAACTCTGTACGCGGTTCGAAATGTCAATGCACCTGGACATTCCACAGTAAAAATCTCGCGCGGGAAAAAGTTCCGCTCGTCAAAACCCCACCCGAACCAGACAGTTGAAGAAGCAGGTGTTCAGTCAAGTTTGAAATCCAATCAAATGAGCACAGCTGTAAATTTCGCCTGGTCGCACAGTTTCGTGATACACTCATTTTTTGTGACGCGAGATTGCAAAAATGTGTAGACGCGACTCGGAAAAGAGGGGATTGAGACACAAGTGTCTCCACAGGAACGTACCCTTAGTGCGCTGATGGAGAACGGGATTGTGGGCAAGGGAGACAGCAGCCTCATTATCACAGAGCAATGGAATAGCCCCCCCATCCCCCACATGCATCTCTGCCAACAAACTCCTCAACCAAATGGCCTCCTTGGCCCCCTCCGATAGAGCTTTGTACTCAGCTTCAGAAACACTTGCTACAACACTGTCTTGCTTTTTGCTATACCAGCTGATAGCTCCTCCTCCCAACTTAAAGATGTAGGCAGAGCGACTCTTGCCATCAGTCTCACCACCCCAATCCGAGTCGGTGTACCCAACAACTTGCTCACCACCTTGGCGCTCATACCTGATGACACGATCAGCTGTGTCGACCAAGTACCTAAGTGCTCTCAGTGCAACGCGCATGTGAAAGCGTCTTGGTGCCACGCAGGACTGTGCAAGGGTGTTGACAGTGAAAGACATGTCAGGACGGGTGGTCACAGCAGCATACATCAAGCTGCCGATGAGACTCTGGTACACCTTGACATCAACTGCAACACCTTCCTCAGTCGACCAAGTACCATTCCTGATCTTAGAGAGATCATTGGGTGACATTGGAGTATGCACCCTATGGGTCTCCTTCAGCAGACCACCAAACCTTCCCTGGAGACCACGGACATACTTCTCCTGACCAATCTCCAACCACCCATCCTTGACCGACCTGCGAACCTCCACACCAAGGTACGTGGATACCTCACCTAGATCCTTCATCTGGTACCTCTGAGCAAGCACCTCCTTGACCTGACCGATCAGCTCCAAGCGTGGAGACACAAGCAAGAGGTCATCCACATACACCAATACATATACTGGCTCTTCATCCACAAACCTGATGTACAGAGCCTCATCACATGCACTGCGGTCAAACCCTGCTGCAATCAGGGTGGTACCAATCTCCTCATTCCAAGCACGAGGCGCTTGCTTGAGCCCATAGAGAGCTTTGCGCACGCGATACACCCTACCTGTACCATCATCAAATCCCTCAGGTTGCCTCACATACACCTCCTCTTGAAGGACTGCATTGAGGAAAGCATGATCAACATCCTCCTGTTGTACATGCCACCCTTTTACCGCGGCTTCTGCAAGAAGCACCCGACCTGAGGTGAGCTTGCCCACAGGGGCAAATACCTGATCATAGTCCTTCTCGGGCTCCTGAGTGTACCCCTTAGCAACAAGGCGAACCTTGTGCTGTACCACCTTATCCTCCTTGTCAGTTTTCCTGCGGAAAACGTACATGACCCCAATGACCTTCTTACCTGGAGGTAAGTCGACCGGCTCTGGATCCCATACACCCATAGTGCGCATTGCATTTACCTCCTTCTCAGCGCCTGCCTTCCACGCAGGGCCCTCAGGGCCACGCAGGGCCTCAGCGAGTGTGCGTGGGACATCACCGGTGTTCACACCTGCCAGTGCAACACCTTCCACCTCCCTGGCCAAACACAGCATGCCCTCAACCACACCAGCATCCCCCACTACCTCCTCACCACCTGTACCAGACTGGATACCAAGCACCTGCAAACCCGTAACCGGTGGTGGGGAGGTAGTCGCTGGTGACGGAGGGGCACCCGTAGAGAGAGGGACAGAGCGCTGACCAGAGGAGGAGGAAGAGGAAGTAGCCTGTATAGCGGATCTCCGCTGAATGGCCGAGGGGCCACTGAGCTGCTGCAGAGGGGTGGGCTGCTGCTGCACCGACACAGTTAGCGGTGCCGGTGGCAGGGATGAAGGTGGCATCTCAACGTCGTCAACCGTTGCTGAGGGTGGCGAGAGTGGAAGAGGGAGGAGTTGGGAAATCGCAGCTGCATCCTGCAGAAGCTCCCCAAATCCCTTTGCCTTGTCCCAATCCTTCCACATCACATTCTCAAGAAAATCAACATCCCGAGCAATGCGAATGCGCATGAGAGAAGGGTCCAGCATGCGCCAACCCTTGCTCTCCATGTCCACCCCAACACAGAGACACATGACAGCCTGTGCATCAAGCTTGCCACCCTTCTCATGCCCATGCAGCATGACACTTCCCATGCAACCCCCAATCCGAGCCATGCCCACATGCGGCTTCTGGCCGGACCACGCCTCCATTGGTGTGATGGAGGCAGGCAAAGCACTCTGGGTGACCCTGTTCTTAACCCACACGACCCACATCAATGCTTCACCCCACAAGCGAGCAGGGAGACCACTGTCGACCAACAATGTGTGAATCCCCTCTGCCATCGTCCTGTGTCACCTCTCCACAACCCCATTCTGCTGCGGTATATCTGCGACACTTTGGGTTTTGATGCCAAACTCCGCTTTCCATGCTTTCACAGCGTCCCCCAAGAACTCGCCACCCCTGTCGGAGCGAACAGCCTTCAGCTTCCGCCCACACTCCAATTCCACGTCCTTATGCCACTGGCGAATGACTTTTGCGACTGTGGCCGATTCCTTGTTGGGGAGTGGGAACGACCAAACTCGTCTGGTGAAGTCGTCAATGAGAATGAGGACATACACCGCTCCTCCCAGTGACGGTGTGCGCACTGGCCCCCACAAATCCATGTGGACCTCATCCAAAGGCCCAAGTGCCCGAGACGCCTCATGGGGAAACGGCTTCCGAGCCGACTTTCCCAATAAGCAAGGCTCACATGGGGAGCAATCAGTGCCCCCCCCCCGGATCTCCAAGCCCAGTACACTGTTCCCCCGAGCCATCTGTTGCAATGTTGTGGGGGCGGTGTGACCAAGGCGGCGACGAGCAAGGGTCAATGGGGAAAATGAGGAGGAGGACCCAGCTGCAAGAGCACTGCCTTGTGTGCCCCGAGCAAGAGGAAGAGACATCCGCACCAATCCATGGTCCCTTCCCCTCTCCTTTTCTCCAATCGCCAACACCCTCTCCCCCCGTTTAAGAACACATTTCTTGCCCTTGAATGTGACAATGACATCTCGAGAGGTGAGGTGTGGGACTGATAGCAGATGCGTGTGCATCTCAGGCACAAGGTGGACCTTTTGAATCCTCAGCAGCTGACCTCCAGCACCAACCACTGGCACCTCACCCATGCCAACAGCTTTCACCACCCGTCAATCTCCCAATCTAACTCCCCGAACCTCTGGTGGCTGAAGCTTACTTTTGAAGTCCGATGCATAAGGAGTAAAGTTGTGGCTGGCCCCACCGTCAATCCACCACCCCTCCCGCGGCTGCTCCTCTCCCACTGCTTCAACTGCCTCTCCAACCACTGCCTCTGCCTTGTCATCTTGCTCCTCCTCATCCGCCACCTGTGCCTTGCCGTTGGATCCACGACCCCCCCCCTTTAAGAATGCCGGAATGCCTCCCTTAGGTCGATGAGGACATCGCTGCCATGCATGTCCCTCATCCCAACAGCCATGACACAACCCCCGAGGAGCCATGCCCTTGGACCCCCAGGGGAAATCAAGCACCCCCACTTTGCCTTTTCCTTGACCCCATCTGCCCGAGTTGGTGTCACTGCTGCTACCGCTGCCTCAATGCTTTCCTCCCTTGTCCCAATTTCCCCTGCCACTGCTGCCCACTTTCGTACCCACTCCAAAAGTGGCTACACCATCCGATCTTGGTGCGACACCAATCCGCATCTCCTCGCTCCTCAAGGAGGTAAGCAGCTGATCCTTAGTGAGCGATGATGACTGGTTGTTCAGCACCGCCTTCAGCATCTCAAAGTGAGGAGGTAGTCCTTTGAGTACCCTCATCATCCACTCCTCAACCTCCTCCTTCCCTCCTGCAGCCAATTACTTGGACCTCAAGTCCTCGGCACGCGCCCAGTATGCAGCCACTCCCTCCCCTTCTTTCATCTTCAATAAGGAGAGCTCCTCAGAGAGTGCCATCCGATTACACAATCCACGCTGAAGGTAGAACTCTTTCACTCGTGTTTATGCCGCTGCTGTGCGTGCAGGAACCCGGGTGACTGCTCTTGCTCCGCCATCAACAGGTGCGCTACCCAACTCGGTCTTGCCGCCAAACTCCCGTACCAAGCGAATCAGCTCATCTGGCACCAAGGCATTGCAAAATTGGGCGAATGCCTTCTGATTTTTCCTCTCCCACTTCAGCCGTGCGTCACCCGTTGCAGGTCGCTCCTCCGAGCCATCAAAGTACCCCCGTAGATCGTGCGCCTCTGCCCATTGTTCGAATCGGAAGTTCCAAGTCCAATAGTCGCTCCCGTCAAACTTTGGCGCACTCTCCAGCTTCCCTTTGCCTGAGTCGTGATCCATTTGTGGCGCAGGCACTGAAGATTGACGTTCAGGTGGTGGTGGAGGCAACGGCGGCGGCGGTGAAGACGATGCGGGCAGATTCACCCCCTCTTGGTTTTTGGAGCGTAACTCTGCGCTCGAACCTCTGAATGATGAGCCGTTTAGTTCTAATGAATCCTCGCACCGAGCCCGTTCCAATGGTGTATCGCGCTCCGGGATCCCACGTCCAAGGTGTCCGCTTAAACTCGTCGAAGTTGGCCGATTTTCCGTCGACGAAGACTCGACGGTTTCTCCCGACGGCCACTGGTAACAACCCCGAGGCAATTGTTGTAGATCGTGCCGAGGTCTTTCCAACGGTATGCTGCATGTCTTGATCGGCCAAAGTTGACTGAGCGCCTCCGTGAATGGATGTCGCTCTTCTCGTCCTCCCGAACGGATCCACAAGATTTCCAGCAGTTTTCTTCTCTCCTCCTCCCCTCCCACGTCCAGAGTCCGGCATGGTGCGATTTCGGCAGCCCTTCGGGAGGGATGGAAGCTATTTAGCTTCCACCAAGGTGTTATGATCAAATTTATTGAGTAGCTCCTATTCCAACAGATTGCTAGGCCTTCCTAGCTCTGATATCATGTTATAATGGACTAAGCTACTAGCGGAAGATTTAGTAGTCTTAGAACCTCCTCCTAAAGCCTAGGAATCTTAGGAGCCCACTTGGGCATAAACCATGCTAGAACCAAAGTGATTTCAAAGGAGTGAAGTTCCAACAAGAGAGAACCCTAACCTATAGGGTTTGGGAGGTGGTCCACTCAAAAGAGTGTACACCACAATTTCTCCCAACCCAACCAATGTATTCTACACTATTACAGTGTAGATCTGCCACTACATATGTTTATTGGAGCAACCCGAATTAACCTTAATTCCAACATGGAACTGTGTTCAAACGGATGCCTCAAATAGTGAATAAAAGCACTCTCAAATGAGATTCCCATATGTGAAACCAAATACCGTACGTATCATGTTGAAACCATGAACTTGCTCGACCGTCCTAGCATCGTTGATAAATACGATGGATGGTATGGCTGAACATAATATTCTGGTATCAACATGTACGAATGCAGTTGTACAAATGAACAACAAGGTATGAGGTGGAGTGGTTGCTTCACCAAGAAAGTTAAGATGCACCATATACCCAATAGAGGTTGATGGGGTCGTTGAAACAGCGAAAACACGCTGCCCCAAAGACGATTAACAATCTCTAATTACATACATGACACATAGTAACACCATACTTTGAAGCACACATCCCACAAACACAAATGCAAACACTCGTAAAAGCGTGCAACACCACGTAACAATTGTGAACGGATCGAGTGGGTGCTCAATATATGTCAAGTTTATATGCTATGGTCTATCTAGGCTGTAGTGGGGTAGATACTATAGGGTACAACATTTCTAGGTTTTCTACTTGTACCCACATTTCACCCAATCATTCTCATTCCTCATTTCTTCACATGGTATAGAGCAGGTTCCCTAGTGGGAACGCTTCCTAGGGCCCACCACTGGAAAATCGAAACTTTTTTTTCCTGACCGGAGCGCGAGTCGCCCCTGCCCGAGGCGCGCCCCGTGGGCCGCCCTCTCGTCGCGTCCCCTGCCCTTAGCGGCCCGTCGCGCCCTTCTAGAGGCCCCTCTCACGGCCCCTCGCGCCACCCCTAGCGGCCCCGTCGCCGCCCTTCCCGGCCCGTCGCCGCCCCTCGTGGCCCCGTCGCCACCCTTCGCGGCCCCGTCGCCGCCCCTAGCGGCCCCGTCGCCACCCTTCGCGGCCCCGTCGCCGCCCCTGGCGGCCCCGTCGCCGCCCCTCGCGGCTCCGTTTCCGCCCCTCGCGGCCCCGTCGCCGCCCGTTACGGCCCCGTCGCCGCCCTTCGCGGCCCCGTCGCCGCCCCTAGCGGCCCCGTCGCCGCCCTTCGCGGCCCCGTCGCCGCCCCTATCGGCCCCGTCGCCGCCCTTCGAGGCCCCTCGCGGCTCCTTCGCGGCCCCGTCGCCGCCCCTTCTTGGCCCCGTCAACGCCCTTCGCGGCCCCGTTGCCGCCCCTAACGGCCCCGTCGCCGCCCTTCTTGGCCCCTCGCGGCCCCTTCGCGGCCCCGTCGCCGCCCCTAGCGGCCCCGTCGCCGCCCTTCGAGGCCCCTCGCGGCCCCTTCTCGGCCCCGTCGCCGCCCTTCCCAGCCCCTTCTCGGCTCCTCCGCCACCAGCAGCAGCCGCCGCCAGCAGCAGCAGCCGCCGCCGCCAGTAGCAGCCGACGGCAGCAGACGCCGCCGACAGCAGCGGCGGCCGCCACCAGCAGCAGCCGACGCCGCCGACAGCCGCGACTGCCGCCGCCACTGACAGCAGGAGCTGCCGCCGCGGTCGCGGCTCTGTCCCTGCCGACGCGCCTCGGCCCTGCCCCACCGCTTGCCGGCCCCTACCTACCAGCCCTGGTGAGAGCACTGCCGAGCCACGCCTGCTACTGCTGCCCCTAGCCTGCTGCCACTGCTGTCATGGCTACCCCTAGCGTTCTAGTCTTTGATGCTGAGGGTCGGGCTGATGACTTTGAGGTCTGGGTCGACGATTTACAGCTGTTCGATCTCACGTCTGGCGCCTCTGCTGCCCCTGCTGCCGATGCTGACAGCACTGTTCGCTCACAGTGGGCCACACGCGATGCTGCTGCCCGTCTTGCAGTGCGTAGTCACTTACCGTCCACTTAGTGCGCGCACTTTAGTCAGTACAAGAGTGCTAAGACCTTGTACGACGCTGTAGTTGCATGCTACTCTTCCCCTGCCACTGCTGCCCTTAGCCGCCTCATGCTGCCGTACCTGTTTCCTGACCTCGCCGCCTTTCCCACAGTCGCTGACCTCATTACGCACCTTCGCACTAGTGACACCCGCTCCCGCGCTGCACTTCCTGCTGAGTTCTGCGCCAAGAACCCCCCCCCCATGTACATCACCCTCTACTACATAGTCACCCGGCTCCCTGACTCCCTTTGCTCGGTCAGGGACCACTTCCTCTCTGTTTGCCCCACCACACTCACCGTTGACCTCCTCGAGGAGCGCCTCCTGGCAGCTGAGAAGAGTATAGTCGCTATAGGAGCCTCTCGTGGTGACCCTCGTGCCCCCTTCTTTGAGGGGTGCTCCCCCTCCCCCCTTTTGCCCTCTGTTGCCTCTGCTGCTGCCGTCGACTTCGTTGGCACCGAGTCGGTCGGCGCTGCGTCTGCCTCTAGCGGGAGACGCCGCACCGGCAAGGGCAAGGGGGGCAAGGGCGCTGGAGGGGCTGGCAGGGGCGGTGGAGGTGGCGGTGGAGGAGGCGGAGGGAGTGGGGGTGGCGGTGGGAGTGGTGGCGGGGGTGGGGGCTTCGGTGGCGGCGGTGGAGTCGGAGGCGGCGGCGGCGGTGGCGGTGGGAGCGGAGGAGGAGGCGGTGGCGGCGGTGGCGGAGGTGGCAGTGGCGGAGGTGGAGCTGGTCGGGGTGGCTTTGCGCAGCGGGGCGGCTTCGGTGGTGGTCAGCGCCAGCAGCAGCAGCGCACTCGTGAGACCCCGCCCCCCCAGCAGCTTCGTGAGTGGTACGCTGCGCGTCAGCGGGGTGGGGGTACTGGTCCTTGTGCCTACGTCCTCCGTACCGGCGACCGCACTGGTGAGCTGTGCGGTGGCCCGCACACCACCCGGCGCTGCTTCGGCCGCCTGACGGACGCTTGGCGTCTCCAGTTCCCTGACGCCACTGAGATCCCCCGCTGGGGCGAGCTGCTTAGGTCGGGGGTTGCTATCTTTGATCTAGATTATGATGCCATTCTTGCTGCCATGTATGTTGTGTCTACTAGTGATGAGGGTGACTGTTACCTGTGTGTTCTGCCTGACCCGGGCATTGAGGCTGCTGCTCTAGGTGCTGGTGAGGCTGCTGCTCTAGGTGCTGGTGAGGCTGCTTCTCTCGGTGCTAGTGCGTCTGCTGCCTCAGGTGCTGGTGAGTCTGCTCTCTCAGGTACCACGTTGGCTCAGGCCTTGCACACCTTCACCCTTGACTCGGGTGCTTCCCGCTCCTTCTTTCGAGACCGCACCACGCTTACGCCGCTTAGTCGGCCAGTTACGGTCTCCCTGGCGGACCCCTCTGGGGGTCCTGTCCTTGCCCACTTCTCCACTGTCTTACCGTGTCCGGCGGCCCCCTCTGGCACCCT